GACTCAAGGAGAACTGAACCTTATCTGAGCTCCTTCCCTCGGCCTCATAAAGCCTACTGTGCAAGGTTTCCTCGGAACATATTTTCATATGATTAGCAAAAGTCCCTCTCGGCACAGACGTCGGTGAGCGGACACATGGTAACCAAAGGCCTTCCACGTCAAAACCAAGTGATAACGTTTAGCTGTTGCTGGCCTGAGAGTTTGATTTCTCCCTCGGCATCGCGGGGTTTCCTCTGGGGTGAGACCCCCCCAGGCCCTCTCCCTCGAGGGACTTTAAATCATTCTCCGTGCTTGCCCACCACAAGGCGCTAGAGTGGTTCATCCAATCCCCACACAGTGACCACAGACTCTAATTCCAGAAGAAAGAACAAAAATGGGCAGCTGCCATTTATTTGCGTGACATTTACCCAATGAGCAAAACCAGACTTCGGCACCTCTCTCAGGGCTCACCTCCCTAAATCTCCTGCCTTTAACAGTATATTTTTGGATAGAAGAGCATGACAGACAAAAAAAAAAAGTATATTCCTTGCCTTGGATAAGAAACCTTGGGGGTTACTCCACGGGAGGAATAAGGCAGTGCATTTCCTCACTCTTCTGCACCCTGTGCCCTGAGCGGTAAAACTCTAGTCCACTAGTGACCTCCCACGAATTCGGGAGCTTTTCCTCAGGTACAGAAGACCAGACACTCGGTTTGCTTGGGGGGGGGGGCATTCTTGACACCAGTGGGGGCAGGGACACATCTGCTCTTGGGAATGAAGCCTGGGCAGCTGTGGGCAGCTGCGGCCCCTCCCTGCTGTTCAGAATGAACACGTTGGGACCCATTGTGGCCTGATGGGGCCGAAAGGACACTGCCATCGATTTCCTTCCCAGAGATGTTAGCTGAGTGGGCCGCGGCCGGGCAGGGTGGGGTTGTTGCGGTCAAACCACTCGTTATTGAGCCCTTCCTTTGTGCGAGGGAGTTGCTGATTGCGTGTCTGATTGCGGGTGGTGGCTGACGAGCTCCCTCGATGCCAAATGAGGTAGAGATGGACTCATTTCTCCACAGCAGTATAGATCGCCAAGCCGAACAATGTTATCCCGCAACACTGTCTTCTTTTTTTCACTCTTCCTTAATTACCCTGACGAGCCAGATCAATGCAGGGTGAGGGTTTCCTGTGCAGAAGAGAGGAAGGATAGGAGCAGTTGCACTGTTTGAATAATTTCCTTGATCTCAGCGGGACTCAGAAAGCAGACGTGCATGCTAAGGTGGAGAGAGATGGTCTGCCCTATCTGGCTTACAAGGGCCACAGGCTCCCCGCTTTTCAAGAGCCACAAATATGGGGAAAGGACCCCCCCCCACCGCCGCCCCGAGCCAGAGCAAACACTGGGGACCTTTGAGCAGGGAGAGAGTCCTGTCAATGATCTGTGGATTCAAGGAGTGTCTCATCTGCCCAGAGGAGCAGCCCGCCCCCTTCCTGTGCCTCCCTACACCCCCCAACACACACCCCCTGCCCCTGCCCTTGCCACCAGCAGGAATTCTGGAAGCCCCTGACCCTCTCCGAGGAATGTTGAATGGCCTTTACAACGTTAGCAACAAAGAGACCACGTCCCTTTGATAACCGTTGTGGCTGCCCTGTGGTCTTCCTGACGCTTTATTTACCTGAGTCTCTTTCTTCCCACCCTCTCCTGCCCTTAAAAGCCTGCTTTGGCTCAGGCTCCACGGGGTCACAGCTTCAGCCCCACCCCAACCCCAGCCCCAAGCTTTCCACAAGTTTGCCTCATCCAGAGCCGTTTGCTGAAGGCTTCTCTGGTAGGGCAGCCAGTTGGAGACCAGAGGGACTGGCTGGAAAAAAGCCTTGATCCAGAGAAGTTGGGGCCAACTATCCCAGGAGGTTCTCAGCTCAGGCCAAAGGTCCTAAGAAAGCCACCAAGCACCTTGGGTCCAGGACTGAGAAGGCTCTCCCCCAGGGTCTCCTGTGGGTGGCACCCCCATCCGCCCAGGGCCACACATCTGCACCCAAAGGCTGGTAGAGTCCCATCCAGAGGAGGCCTCCAGAGGATAGGCACCTGGTGAAGACCCACCAGAAAGGCTAAGCCATCAAGATGAAAAGACACCCAAGCTTCCTTCTCATCAGCCACCATCCACCCCTTTCTGACTGCTCTTGGCACCCTGCCCTTTGGGGACCCAGATGGGCCTCTTGCTTGAGAGTGCAGCCGGATGTGAAGGCACACTTCCACCCTGAGAAGCTTATCCAAGGACATCAGTATTGGCTCCTTTCTCCTCATCAAACAGCCCAGACTCCAGGACCTTGGGCAGGGTCATGCTACTGCCCTGCAGGCCCATTTTCCATTAAGAAAACCAATTGGTTTTTCACCACGATTTCCTTTCTCCAGCTCTCACACCCCAAGAGAGCCTCAGGTTGCCTGGGGTCCAGCCAGCTCTGGGGCCTGGCGTGACCCCTGGGGCCAGAGCGACCCTGGCTGCTCCCAAAGCATTTGGGCGGGCAGGCCAGAGCCCTTTCTCCGGGGCAGAGCACAGAGACACAGCTGGAAAACCGGGACAATTAGCCAGCGGCCGGCGGCCGGGCCATAAAAACGCAGGAAGCGGCCACTGCAGGGCGGAGGGAATGGCTGTCCCCAATAAAGCGATTGTTCCAAAGAATGCCCACATTCCGAAGACACAGGCTTGAGCCTGGGCCTCGGCTTCCAGAGCTCGAGGCTTGGGAGGGGGTTGTGGGGGACAGAAAGAGGAATTGTGTCTCCAGGAAGAGGAGGAAGATGTTTGCTAGATCAAAAGTCTGAAGTGCCCACCACTTAACCTCCCACATTCCCACCCCATCAGGACTGCAGACTCTCCCTCTCGCTCCCCCTCCCCCAACTCAGTGATTTGGGTTCTGCAATGGGGCTTGCGATCTTTTTTCCCTGTTTTATTTCTTGAGCGGTCCCATGAACTCAGCTGTCCGGACCAGGCTCGGTAGGTCCACTTGGAGGACTTGCCCGCCCACCCCCCGCCCCGCACCCCCACATCTTCCACCTCTTGGGGGCTCAGCTATCTGACCTACCCCCGCCCCGCAGACTGCTGATTGTAACCAACCTCCTTAGGAAACGCAGAGGAGAAGAACCAGCAAGCCGGGATCCCTCAGCCCTGGGCTTGTTCGCATCCAACTTGGGCCCGGCCTCCCTCCGCTATGCAGCTTTGGTGGGTGTCGTCTGTAAAACGGAGGTGGTGACAACACCAGCTCAGTTCCCCAGTTAGGGAGATGTGAGGATCGAGGCAGGTAAAGGGCACTGGAAGAAAGCTCCAGAGATGAGAAGGCGAACAAGTGACAACCGCCAAAGAGCGCTTGACAATGAGAACCGACAAGTGCAGCTATGGAGATGGGCGGCTAGTGTCCCGCTGGTCCCGGAGCGCCCGAAGCCGCCCAGGCAGCTTGCCCAGTCCCCGGACCGGGCCTCTGCGATCCTCAAATCCTAGTCTGGTGGCACTGTCTGGGCTCGGAGAGAAAGCTTGGAAGGCCACCGCGGGGCTGCTCCCTGCAGTGGCTACACGGAGCCGGGCCGGGCGTGTGCGCAAGACGGATGTGGTCGCCTTGCGCTCCTGTCCCGGCAGTTCCCAAGCCAGGCCTCACAGCACTGGTCCCCGCAGCTGCCACTGAGCCCCTGGGGCCCCCGACACAGTGCTTCAAAGTCGATCCTTTCTCAACTTTTCTTCACTAGGAGCTCTTCAGAAGCAATCATTAGTAACGGCCCGGGTTCCCTGCCCATCTCCTAGAGACGAGAAACGATTTTCTTTGGACAATGTTCTACCTTGGAAAGCAGAAAGTGGTTTTAAGACAAAGGCATTATGCACAATATACAAATACCTAGGTATAGATTAGCAGCAATTTTGACTCTCTTTACCTGGATTTTTAACCGCTTCAGTAAAATAAACACGTATGGGTAGGCTCGCTGAATTTTCGCAGACAACCTACCGTGTCACCAGCACCCTGTTCAAGAAACCAGAACTTTGCCAGCACTCTAGCAACCCTCTTTTACCCCCCCCTTCATAACTGCCCTCCACCGGCTAACTTCTGCCACAGGCTCCTTGGTCTGACTGTTTTGTGTCTTTGGCTGCAGACGCTTTTTTAAAATACGAATTGCTTTAATTTAACTTAAATCCCAAACGTGAGATGAACTCGGAGACGCAGCCTGAAGCTAGCTAGCGGCATAATTTATCTTGTGCGAGAGGCAAGAGGTTTCCTTGGGGAGGAAAATAGCTGATTAGCAGCCACAGTTGTTTTGGGGGCGCAACCATTCTGGCCAGGAGCGCAGAGAGGGCAGGAACCGGCCCCATCTCTAAGGGCTCGGCTCCTCCCCTCCCGGGTGGCTCAGAAACGTAGTCATCAAAGCAATGGCTTCCCTTTTCTTTCCTCTTTGGTGTAGAAGGAGCCTCTAGATGCACCCCCCTCCCACCCCGCAAATGCAGAAACATTACTAGTTTCCAAGCCCAGATTCCCACCAAGATAGCTACCCCCCCCTTCTTTTGCAAGTCTCTTGATTTCATTCTTTGAACCTGTGATTGGAGGTTAAAGTGCACCAGGTTGGAAGGAGGAAGCTCTTAACAATAAAGGTTTGAATATTTCGCGGTGATCGGGTCTCAGCCCTCTCTTGAGCTCCCCTCTCCCCTTATCTTTTAAAATGCAAATCGTGTTTCGGGGGGTTGTGCGCGGGGCGCGCGCTGCGCCTCGACGTCTCCAGCCATTGGTGTCTGTGTCATTACTAATAGAGTCTTGTAAACACTCGTTAATCACGTAAGGCCGCCGGCCTGGGGCTCCGCACTCCAGCCTGTGGCGGGTCTTCCCCGCCTCTGCAGCCCAGTGGGGAGGAGGCGGGAGGAAAGAAGGAAGAGAGGGAGGAGGGAGGAGGCAGGCCAGAGGGAGGGACCGCCTCGGAGGCAGAAGCGCCGCGAGGAGCCAGCGGAGCACCGCGGGCCGGGGCGCAGCCAGCCGCCGCTCTCGGCGCCCCCTCGCCCCTTCCCCTTCGCGCCCCCCGGCAGCCTCCAGCGTCGGCCCCCAGGCAGCATGGTGAGGTTTGCCGTCGGGCCCTCGCCACCATGTACGTGAGCTACCTCCTGGACAAGGACGTGAGCATGTACCCCAGCTCCGTGCGCCACTCTGGCGGCCTCAACCTGGCCCCGCAGAACTTCGTCAGCCCCCCGCAGTACCCGGACTACGGCGGCTACCATGTGGCGGCCGCGGCCGCCGCGGCCGCGAACTTGGACACTGCGCAGTCCCCGGGGCCGTCCTGGCCCGCGGCGTACGGGGCCCCGCTCCGAGAGGACTGGAACGGCTACGCGCCGGGGGGCGCCGCGGCCGCCGCCAACGCGGTGGCGCACGGCCTCAACGGGGGCTCCCCGGCCGCCGCCATGGGCTACAGCGGCCCGGCCGACTACCACCCGCACCATCACCCGCACCACCACCCGCACCACCCGGCCGCTGCGCCTTCCTGCGCCTCGGGGTTGCTGCAGACACTCAATCCCGGCCCTCCCGGGCCAGCCGCCACCGCCGCCGCCGAGCAGCTGTCCCCGGGCGGCCAGCGGCGGAACCTGTGCGAGTGGATGCGGAAGCCCGCGCAGCAGTCCCTCGGAAGCCAAGGTAGGCGGCGGCGGCGGCGCCCCGCGGGAGGGGGCTGCTGGGCCGGCCGCGCGTCGCGCGCCGACCCGGGCGTCCCGAGCTGTCTGGGAGCTGGGCGCCAGGAGGGCCGGAGAGGGAGACAAAGTCAGGGCCCCCCCCCCCCCCCGACTGCCGGGCTTCTCTACCGCGCCTGGGCTGGCGGGCTGGGGGTGGGGGCCGGGAGGGAATAAGTGGGTCTCCCAACCCGGGTTTAGTTTAGGGCAGAGGAGAGCCTTCCTCCTTCCAACGTCCCAACACTCCCAGGACACCCCCAGGAATGTGGGCGTAGCACGGCTGCGTAGGAGTGGGAACGCGCGTCCCCCGCACTTGGTGCCTCTGGCACTCGGTGCGCAGCTTGGAGCCGCCGGGGGAAGGGAGCCTCGAACTCCACCGAGCCGGGCTTCAGAGCCTTGCTCTCCACGCCGCTGAGCCGCTCAAGAAGAGGGGTGCCCTGGGGAGCCAGGAGGGCGGCGAGGCCGCGCGTGGGACCGGGGTCGAGGAATCTCAAGAGCTAGGGCGAATAGGGAGAGCCGGCAAAGCTGCTGTTGCAGGAAAGACAGGCCCCAGGAATTAGGCGGAAGGGAGCGCGCCCCGTCATTGAACTCCTTTGATTTGCAAAGGAGTTGGTGCAGTCCGAAGCTGGAGGGCTAGGGGCAAGAAGTCGTGGGTGTCCTCTTGTGTCTGCAGAGGGAGAAGGGGAAGAATCCTTGGTGGGGATTCAGCTTCTGCTCCAGACAGGGATCATTTCTCCCCACCTTTCCTTTCCAGGGTCTCGGGGCTGTGTGTGTGTGTGTGTGTGTGTGTGTGTGTGTGTGTGTACGTGTGTGCACGCGCGCCCATGTTCAAGAAGCTGGCTCAGGAGATGTCCCTGCAGACATCCTAGGTTTGCCGGACCGCGAGGGCCCATCAGGTCCCGGTCTGCCCCTTCTGCTATCGGGATATGTGTCAAAGTGGGAAGGAAGTTGGAATAGGTGTGGTGGGAGAGTCCTGTTGGCATCCCCTTTTCGCTCCACGAAGTTTTCCTAGCCTTCTGCACTTCCGCTTCTCTTCTCTTCCCTTGTTTCTGGCCCAGCCCGGCCTGCACGCAGGTTATGGCCACTTTGCAGAGGTTTATAGCCAATTACAGCCGTATAAATCAGAGCAGCCGTTGGGGGCTGTCTCCGGGCATCAGTACTTGAGTCACCGGGCACATGCCGGGTGGGAAATGCGGCCGCCCAGGGAGAAGGCCACAGGGCCAGCCTCGGAACCTCGCCTTGGTGCCTTCCCCAAAGGGAGACGCCGTCGCCCGAACCGAGCGCTGTCTCAGAGAAGGCTGTCTTTTACGGAGCCTGCCTGGGGCGCACTACGGGAGACCTACCGGGGGTCCTACGGGAGACCTCTGGTGTGTCCCGGGACAGTGGCCGCGGGACCAGGGCCGGGGAGGGGGGAGAGGGAGAGGGAGGGAAGCCACAGGAGCCCAGGCCGCGGGGTCAGCAGATGAGAGGCCGCTGTGAAGTCCCGCGCCGAGGTGGCAAGGCCGCAGTCGGCGCCGGGCGCCCTTGTGATGTTAATGTCGGGAGGCCGCGGCCCGCGGGCCAGAGCCCGGCTCCTCTGCGGAGCGTCATCTGTCAACGGGCTAGGGGGGTTGGTCCTCGGCCCGGCCCGCTTTGATATACACCTTCCCAGCCCTGCCATTGTCTCTTTTAGGGCCCGGAAAGAGGGTGGTGACTTTCGCAGTCAATAATGAATTCTCACAAGTCCCTCTCATCTCTCCCCTCCTCCAGCGCCCTCCTTGGTTCCCAGGGGGTGCGGGGCGCCTCCAAGGCCCTTGGGGACGCGGGCCGCAGAGCGCGCAGGGGTCCTGGTCACCCCGTCCCCGGCCCGGCCCGCAGACGGAAAGGGCGGCCCTGGCGCAGGAGCCGCTCCCCCAGGCGAGTGTTGCTCCCGGGATGTTCGGCTCGGAGAACTTTCTTGCGCCCCCCCGCCCAGCCCCGGGGGTGCCCCTTTGTGGCTCCAACCTGGGCGCAGTGGCAGCCGCGCCTTGCACTGTGTGCGTGAGCCAGCCCGAGTCTCCGTTTCCTCATCTGTAAAACGGGCGACTCCCGCCGGTAGCCTCGAGTGGGTGAGAGGCGGTAGCGCGTGTGAACGCGCCCGCCCCTTGCAAGGCTCCCAGGACGTGTTAGTTCCCTTCACTGGCTTCGCAGACGCAGGGTCGGGGCCGCTGCGCCCATTCAAATGCGCCTGCCGGGCCGTGTTTATGTTAATGCGCCTGGCGGGGAGGGGGATGAAAGCGGGGGCCGCCATTTGCTCAGTAGTGGTAATTCAAACAGAATGCGGTTGTTATTAAGGCATTGAAAGGGCTTTTCTTTGATAAGATCGCCTTGTCCTGCATTGTTTGGGACTGTGTTCCCCTTTCAGCGGCTCGGGGGAGCTCCCTCTGATCCGGCCCTGTATCTTCCCAGGGCGCTTTTGTTGTGGTTTGCAAAGGGTTTTACCTGAACAAAGTCGGCCTGCGGGGCATTAAACACCTCCAAGAAACTCCCAGACCCTTTAGATCTTCCCGTAGGATTGGGCACCGGGCGACTGAACCTGTTCGGCTGCAGGATGACGAGGACCTGGGGCCAACGAGGAGCCCCTGCCAAGGGATGACCCAGGACAGACCCGGGGGAGACGCCAGGTTCTCGGGCCTGCTCCAACCGCGACGGCACTATTTGTCAAGGCCCTTCAGTAAAACAATCAATCTGAGGTTTAATATGTTGACTCAATCCAATGAGCACAGATCGCTGGTCAGGATAGCTCTGGCAGAGTTTGTAGCAGAAATAAATGGGGGTGGGGGGGGCTCAAAAAAGAAAAAGTGCCAAATGCGAAACCGTGTTCAGCCAGGTATAGAATGTCGCCAGCGGGAGGGGTCTTCTGCCTGCCATACCCCAGCTCGAATTCCACCAGATGGGCCTCGTGTGCCTAGGAGATGATTCTGGTCTGTCACATCCTGCACCCACCCCCACCCCCCTTTCTACTGTTAATAAAAGTAGAAAGCAACAGACAGAAAGTACCACCACCACCCCCACGCAGCGACACCAACGCATCCCCACGGCCCCAGCTGCTTTTAGGGTGGGCTTCCGTCTTCAATAGGCCAGAAAATGTGAACATTCCCAGGACTCTGGAGACTCTGTCCTGCCCCCTTTCCCTTTGGGCCCAGCCTGCTCCAGGGCTCTGTTTGGTTTACCAAACGGGGGGCTGGGTTCTGCTATCTTGCGTGTAGGAGGTTGGAGTTTTTCTTCGTTTTTAAAAACCACTTAACCCCAAGGTGAGTTTAGTTGTCTCAGATAGCCTCGCACCCTCCCCTCAGGACCCTCTGGGGGGTCTTGTCAGACCCGGCAGGAATCAGCCAAACCCTGGCCCCCCGGGGCGAAGAAGGAAGAGAAATAGCCCTTGGGTTAGGGAGGTTTGTCATTACCCATGACTGATGGGCCGCCTTGCGGTTCCCCGGCCTAACTTCTCCTTCCTCCACAGTGAAAACCAGGACGAAAGACAAATACCGAGTGGTGTATACGGACCACCAGAGGCTGGAGCTGGAGAAGGAGTTTCACTACAGTCGTTACATCACCATCCGGAGGAAAGCCGAGCTGGCCGCCACGCTGGGGCTCTCCGAGAGGCAGGTGCGAACCGCCTTGTTCCCTCCAGGGCTGGTAGGGTTCCCCGGGGCAGAGTTGGAAGCTGGGCCCCCGGAAGCCACCTAGTTCTGTGGGCAGATTAAAGCACAGGTTAGAGGGGCGCCTGGCTGGCTCGGTCTGTAGAGCACGCGACTTTTGATGTCCGGGTTGTGAGTTCAAGCCCCGTGTTGGGCGTAGAGCTTACTTAAATAAACAAATGAATAAATAAATCAGGAGGATGGAGAGCATTTCCTCCTGAATGAGTTTAGAAAAAGTTCCTTCCACCGCTAGTTGTCTTTTTCAGGTGTTGAAAAATTTCCCCGTTTTCCGGCATCCGGGAGGTGCAAAAAAGAAAAAAAAAAATACCCCAAAGGACAGAGCAGTACTTTAATCCAGATTTCTATTTGCGTGAAAAAAGACTTACATTAAAGACCTATTAGCTTTGTGCCCAGCCCAGCGCCTGGGGAAAAAAATGAATACAAGACCCCAATCCCTACCCGTAAAAACTAGAACGAGGCTTGACTCATGAACACTGTATATGGTCTAGAAAAAGAAATAAATAAACAAAACAGGCCACATCCACAGCCAGGAAGCCCCACGGTAAATCTCATTCTCAGTTTGAAGGTGAGGCCTATTACATTTCAGTTTAGCTTTAAGAGGCCAAAGGTTGTCATTTTGAAGCACATCCATGCTGGCCTCCTCCTGCTTGTTGTAGAAAGGGCTTTGCAAAGTTTCTTTCCCTTGGCTCTGAGACTCTGAACTTTTCCAGTAAAGTTGTAGATAAAGGTTGCTTTAGAACGAAACCTGGTGAACGAGGCGGGGGGGGGGGGGGGGGGGCTCTTCTCTCCCGAGACCCTACTGGGCTTGGGAAGGGCTCCAGGGCTGGGGCTGTCACGGGGCTCTCGAATGAACGTCTGGGAGAAGGTTTGGGGGTCCTTTAGAGAGGGCACTTCTTTTTTTTTTTTTTAATTTTTTTTTTAACGTTTATTTATT